AGCCTGGGTTCACCTTCCCGAGCCCTGCGAACACTCTCTGCCTCTCCTTTATACACAAACACGCACACACCCACTCTCGCTCTCCCCGGGTTACACAGAAACATATGCTATGTTCAGAATAACATGCTAGCGTACTAGTCTTACTATTCATGCAGTGTAGTGTATACTGAGTGAGCATCCTGAAAATCATCTGTTTGCAGTGAATTACCTACTACATTTTTTCCCAAATTTGCTTTGTAAAACAGCTCACATTTAATAATATATCACACAATGCATTAAACATAATATAAAAATATAGATATTAAAATAAAGTTTTAGACTCTTTTTTTATATTATTGATCAAATTACACAATGCTAACAGATCTTTACACAAAATTTCATTTAAAAAAGCTAAATAGTCATTTAAAGATAATTACATACTCCTCACATGCAGTGTAATGAGGTCATGTGACAGCATTTTTCAACAGGCGAATCAAATGCTCCGTACTTAACCGTGATACAAACACTGCTGTCAGATAATGATGGACTCTTGTCGTGTCAAGAGTGAAAAAACGTCAGTTGAATGGACGTCGCCATCTTTGATATCACTTAAGTCACTGATAAGAGAATACGGGCTTGACTCCGGGTCTCGATTCATATTCATACAGACAGTAATCGAGATTCTACCATAAGTTGCTGTGTGAATGGGACATTTCAATGCTCACATCTAAGTAAAAACAGTTGTCGATACAAAAACTGTGTGTGAATGCAGACGAGATCTGATTCATCTCGGGATGCATTTGGTTGAGTTAATTAACCCGCTACCAAATGTAATTTAATTCAGATTTATTGGTAACACTTTACTTGAAGGGACACCTGGTTATGGTTATGAACACCTTCATAACCATGACATGACATCTTGAATATGAAGTAGGGTTTATGCATGTTTATGACAACATGTTTATGCATGTTTTTCGCACAATAATGACATTTTGAATGCAAATATGACATTGTTTAAGACACCTTGACATAAACCATAACATCATATCCTGTCAGTGTCTGTCATGGCAACTTGACATAAAATTAAGTTAAACTGTCATGTGGTTGGCTTTGTATTATAACTGTGTCATGAATGTTTTTCGTGACCTCAACTACAGTCGTACACATTAAATTTGTCATTAAAATGTTATAATGGCTTCATAACAGCCAATGTCAAAACCAACCACCTGACAGTTTAATGTAATGTTAACCCATAAAGCTTGGTGGTTTCTTAAGTTTGATAATTAATCTGCTGTGTCATGTTTATGACCGATTGTGTTGTCTTAGTAAGTTGTCATGACAAAGACACTGACAGGTTATGATGTATTGGTTTATGTCAAGATGTCATAACAAAGACATCTTAAATGTCATATTTGCAATAAAAAATGTCATAACTGAGCGAATGACACTTAATGCCAGTTGTCACAAACATGCATTAAACTTCCTTTATATTCATAACATGTGTCATGTCATGATTATGAAGGTGTCATATTAGTCTTATGCAGACCCCTTCAAGTAAAGTAACCAAAGTATACTGTGTATGCAGTATACGTAAGCACTAAGGTACGACTAGGCTGTGCTGTATCTAGTATGCCAATCCAAACCTTTTTCTGACCGCCTCACTTCCTTCTCTGACTTCCTGGGCCTGTTTTACAGTGCTGTGAACTCAGTCTGCAGGGTTATCGCGCTCTGTGTTCCACAAAATGAGTTGGAAAATGCAAAATTGTGAGAGAAATCTTTTCCATATTCATGCAAGCTCCTCACCCGCTCCAAGTCTGCTGGCAAAGACGATGTCTGATCAGGCTGTCCCTGTGTGAACTACAGCAGAGGTCATGACCTTTAGTCAGAATGGAGAAAGTGGACCACAGAGCGCTAATTGAAACAAAAGACCTCTTTACGATCATCCTGGCACAACAGGGAGGTGCAACTTATAGCCAGTGCACACATCCTGCACTTTCCCACACAATGACTTGGACTCGCTTATAACTGTGACGTCAAGGCAACCATCTATATCAAAATAACAGTTCCAAAGTAAAGAAGAGGGCATGCATCATTAATGCAGCACACATATAGACGGAAGGGTGATAAAGCGCACCTCTTAGGATGTAAAACAATGACCGTGAGACTGTGAAGTATGTTATTCCAACCTACTCCACGTTCGTATTTTTCTTCCCCACGCTGTCGCTCGATCTCTTCCTCTGCTGAGCTCTAAAGAAGCGCCTGAGTTAAATGTATGCTTTTAAGATGTGGAAATTAGGGTTGTGTGCCAGTCAGAACTGATTCCTTTTAAATTCTAATTCAATTCCTGAATTTGAATTGCGGTAGCAAACATCATGGCAAATTACCAATTCAAATCAGGATTTCATTGATTTCTATCTTAGTTAGTTTATTTGAAGAAGAATTTCTTAATTATTTGAGAACACTAAACATAACTAATAAGCTATGTACATATACAGTATATAATGAAAAAAATCCTTTTTATTTTGAGGAACTAAATTTAATATGAATTGAAATTCAAAAAAAATTTAGTAAAGGGGTTTGGACAGACGGACAGACGGATAGACGAATAGATAGATAGATGGATGGATGGATGGATGGATGGATGGATGGATGGATCGATGGATCGATCGATCGATCGATCGATCGATCGATCGATCGATCGATCGATCGATAGATCGATAGATAGAGGAACTAGATTTAAAATGAAATTCAAGTTCAAAATTGAAATTCAAAAAAAATGTACTAAAGGGGTTTGACGGACGGACGGACGGACGGACGGACGGACGGATAGATAGATAGATAGATAGATAGATAGATAGATAGATAGATAGATAGATAGATAGATAGATAGAGGAACTAGATTTAAAATGAAATTCAAGTTCAAAATTGAAATTCAAAAAAAATGTACTAAAGGGGTTTGACGGACGGACGGACGGACGGACGGACGGACGGACGGACGGACGGATAGATAGATAGATAGATAGATAGATAGATAGATAGATAGATAGATAGATAGATAGATAGATAGATAGATAGAGGAACTAGATTTAAAATGAAATTCAAGTTCAAAATTGAAATTCAAAAAAAATTTACTAAAGGGGTTTGACGGACGGACGGATAGATAGATAGATAGATAGATAGATAGATAGATAGATAGATAGATAGATAGACAGACAGACAGACAGACAGACAGACAGACACAGACAGACAGATAGATAGATAGATAGATAGATAGATAGATAGATAGATAGATAGATAGATAGATAGATAGATAGATAGATAGATAGATAGATAGATAGAACATTGGACAAAAATTAAACTTTCTATGACATTACAATCATCATTGCCCTCACCAAACCTTCCCCAGCTTTGCTTGCTTCTCACTTTCTCTCACTCGCTTTTTTTCTCCTTCCCTTACTTTCTCCTTCCCTTACTTCCTTTCTGCCCTCTTTAATGCACTTTAATAGTGTGTGGGGAGACACTTTGATAAATAGCCTGAGAGAGACATAAGAGATTTGATTTAACTTTTTTTTAACTCACACTTTTAGCGGTACACTGCATGTGTGTATGTGTGAAATCCTTTATTTTGTGTGAGCTATCCCCTTTTTTTACTGTGCCCTGGGCTTTGCAATGGATAGCTTTCCCCCACCCTCCTGCTCCAATCGGCCACCCCCACCCCCAGCGCTGAAACCGGGCCAGCCCCAGCTGCCTGTCCAGATGTGGGAGAGAAGGAGAGGCAAGGTCCAACAGGGGATGAGGGCCTGAAACAGAAAAGGGGCTCCACAGAGAATGGAGCATAAAAGAGAATCAAGACATTCAGAGAGAGAGGAAGATGGAGAGATGTCAAGGGGTTGTCTGAATTTGTTCCCAGGGTGTTTAAATAAAATTGGGACATGGAATGGAAAGGTGCAATGTGTCTTCCAGTTGATCTCTGGACGGTTCCAAATAAGAGGATCAATGACACCAGATTGTGCCTTCTCTGAATAGTCATTGCAATCAAGTCTGATCTCATGATCTCAGTGGACTGGAACATGTCCCATCCCAGAGAATGCAGACTTGGCATAGTCGTATCCATACGGTTGTTCCTGCTTGCCTGTGCAGGTCCTTCCAGGCCGGTCCTGATTTATGAACACCCCCTGAGCTCTCACTCCATCCTGGAGGGGCTCTCTGATTAGAGATGGAGAAGAGAGGGAGTGCAAACACTCACGCATCCACTCGCACACCCCAGCATTTGGTTCTAATTACACACGGGGCGACTCCAGGGCCGGGTGTCATCTAGAACACGGAGCTAGATTTACACTTGACATGTTTTATTCACACAGGTTGGTCCTGGCCTAGTAATTGCAACATATTATCTGGGCCGATTCATCAAAGGGAACAGCCTGCTACAGTAAACTCTTAAATGAACGACTCATATGGGTCGCAGACGGTAAAAGTGGAGGGTTTTATTAGCAAAAAAAAAAAAAAGACTGAACCAACAAGTACAGTCCAAATGCTTTGGTAAAAGAGGTGTTTGTGAAATGTTTATGCCTTTTTTGAGGAGTACTTGGAAGTGGCCTCTGTTATTGCCGAACAATGATCAGCCATAGTTTGGTGGCAGTAAATGAAGTCATGATTTAGTTGTCTAAAAGCCAAAATGTGGCACATCAGATGAGGGCATGGTTGTTAGCCAAAGGTTACCCCTTGCTGCTTTAACAGGAGTGTTAATATGTGAAGCCAGTAAACACAGCAGTGGATTCAAAGACTTTAACATGCACTGCACATGATTCACTGAAGGCGTAATGCACATAATTGTGAAAATGTGAAGAGATACAGTAAGCGTGTTTACATTAGGGATGATGGATAGATAGGCAGACTAGTACTAGCTATTTTATGAGGGTGAAAGGAAGAGTTCTCCATGCACTTTGTTTAAATAAACCCCTATTTACAGTCTAATCCTGTTGTAATAAGATTGATTGGCATTTTGCCCAAACCCCCCACAGAGCATGACATCAGAGTACAAGCCAAGGCCGGAAATGCGACAGGTCCCGCCACACGCAACATGCGAGATGCACCCTTCGACACGTACGATGCACACCATGCCGCCGGGAAACACAGGGACACAGCAACACAGGCTTGATGGACAAACCAGACCGCCGCACACACATTTCAAGAGGAAAATGGTAACAGGCAGTCCCGTGCAGTAAAATAGAATGGTGCACCTTCATTGTTCTGGCCTCTGGACTCTGGCCTCGCTTCCTGACACCTTCCGTTTGGGCTCGCACACAGATGGCCATGGATGTGCAGGAGCAAGTGCGCCCACTCTCTGCCTGTCCAGACCCAATCGTATGTAGCCAAGGAGAGGTAAAGGACTTCTTGTTGACCTGGTGTGTGTGTGTGTGTGGATGGTTGATGCTATTTGTGTAATACTGCCCCTAGCCTCAGATCAGATGAGTCCCATGTTATCCCATGCAGGGAGCTGTCTAAACTCATGGAAACACTTAATGCGTGTGTTTTTATGTAAGTTTGTGAGGAGTCGCGGGGGTGTCACTGTCTGACAGGATGCTTGGGTCAACTGTCTACGTGTGAGTGCAGCCGGGCCTGGGCCAGCGGGTCAGGGTTGGGCAGACCACAGGAAACGGCCAAGACGTTCTGGCCCAGTGCTGGAGGACTTAACCCTTGCACTGCCAGCCTGGTCGCGCTCTCACTTTTGCCGGAACTGAGACTTCTAACTTACAAAAAATGGTGCAAATGCTAAGTTTTGTTTCTGACAAATGCTAGGTTAAAGGGATAGGTCAACCAAAATTGGAAATTCTGTCATCATTTACCCACCCTCATGCTGTTCCAAATCTGGCTGACTTTCTTCCTGTCGTTCAAAAGTTTTGAATCGTATGATTTTGTTAAAGTGTTTTTGAAAGAAGTCTCTTATGCAAAGCTGCAAAGAGTAATATTGGGAAATATTTACATTCAATGTTGTTTTAATATCATTAATATAGTCTTAATATAGTTCATGTTAATATTTGAAATTTTCAATGTAATTTTAGCTACAGTCCGTAACGTTTTTGTGTGTTCAAAGAGCAGTAAACGTTATGGACTGCAGCTTTAAAGTTTTAGTAAGTTTGTTGTGAGTTTTTGACATTTTTATTAGTTTTAAGTCTAAACAGTATTCATTCATTCATTTTCATAAACAAGAATTAATTTAGTACTTCAACCTAAACTAAATGAAAATTTGCCTTGGCAACTTGCTGAAATAAAGTAAATTGTGTTTTTTATATATTTGATTTTATTTCAGTTATTTCATGTTTTTTTTTTTAAGTTATGGTTTTAGTTTTAGATAATGATAATAACCCTTATTACATTTTAAAGTAACAGTTTTGAATGTCTGAATGTATTTTAAAATGCAATTGCAATATTCAAAGCTGAATTTTCAGCATCATTACAACAGTCTTCAGTGTCACAAGATCCTTCACAAAATCAGAAAAGTCTTCCGGGTTTCGAATAACATGAGAGTGAGTCATTGATGACAGTTTTTTTTACATTTTTGGGTGAACTAGCCCTTTAATATTTCTCTGGAAACAGTGATAAAAAAAGATTATTCTTTGATAAATAGAAAGTTCAAAAGTTCAGCATTTATTTGAAATACAAATCTTTTGTAACATCATAAATGTCTTTACTGTCTTTTTCCCCCTTGCTGAATAAAAATATTTGAACAAAAAACCTACTGACCGCAAACTAGAACAGTATTATGCAATATCATATTATATCATTCATTTATCCATAATCACAGGAAGAAACACAAGTCCTCATAAGAATGTTTGGTATTTTCTTTCTAAATTTAGTCTCTTCTAGTGCTCCTCCTCACTCTGGGTGTGACAGTGCAGCCTTTCAGACTGGAAACAATGTGAAGCAACACCTTCATCATGTAACGCAGCACCCCTGAGTTCCCTGCCATAATGGCTCCTTCGTTCCTCGACTGATGGTCTCTCTAGAGTGCAGTAAGGAAGGGGGACTTCAGTGCTCCTCTGGCCACGAGGACACTGCGCACTGGAATAAGTGGACAGGAAGTGACTCTCAGAGTGAAGGAATTCTCAGACGGCGGGGGTCCATAAGGAAAGGTTGATGTTTTTGGAAAGCAAATGATGTTGTAATGTGCCATCAACAGCCTGCAGGAAGTGGTGGTCTGTACTGGGCCACGTTTACGTTGTTCAGCGTAAGGGATTTGTATAAATAGGTCATTGGTGAATCACTCACGTCAAGCCCCTTAAAAATATTTGTGTGTGTGTGTGTGTGTGTGTGTTTTCTGACTACTTTATATATAAACTCACTGGCCACTTTATTAGGTACACCATTCTAGTACCGGGTTGGACTCCCTTTTGCCTTCAGAATTGCCTTAATACTTTATAGTATAGATTCAACATGGAAACATTCCTTAGAGATTTTGGTCCATATTGGCATGATAGCATCACACAGTTGCTTCAGACTTGTCAGCTGCACATCCATGATCGGAATCTCCCATTTCACCTCCACCCTATGACTATTGAACTAAGACCTGGTGACTGTGGAGGCCATTTGAGTTTAGTGAACTCAATGTCATGTTCAAAAAAGCAGCTTAAGATGATTTGAGCTTTGTGACATAATGTGTTTTCCTGCTGGAAGTAGCCATCGGAGGATGGTCAGCAAGGCCACTCAGGTAGGCTGTGGAAAGGTTGACGTTTAACGATGCTCAATTGGTCCTAAGAGGCCTAAAGTGTGTGAAAGAATTATTCCACACACAATATCACCACCAGCATCAGCCTGAACCGCTAACACAAGGCAGGATGGATCCATACGTTCATGTTGTTTATGACAATTTCTGACCCTACCATCTGAATGTCGCAGCAGAAATCAAAACTCATCAGATCCAGGAACGTATTTTAAATCTTGTGAAATACTCAGACAAGCACGTCTGGCACCGACAACCATGCACATTCAAAGTCACTTAAATCAGCTTTCCTCCCCATTATGATGCTCAGTTTGAACTTCAGCGGTTTGTCTTGAACATGTCTACATGCCTAACTGCATTTTTATATTGGTGCCATGTGATTGGCTGATTAGATGTTTGTGTTAATGAGCAGTTGAACAGGTGTACCTAATAAAGTGGCCAGTGAGTGATATAAAATGTAATGCATCCATATTTAATTATACATTATTTAATTGTTAAGGGTAGACGTGACTGAATCATCATGAGCAGATGTAGCAACTCAGGGGAAGTTAGATGAGTTTGCATAGATGGGGTTTTTATTATCCACAATTAAGGCCAATGATAGTCAAAAAAATTAATGAACAAACTTTTACAACAGTTCAAAAATTGACCTTAACACAAGTCAGTATATTAGAGCAATGACAGACTAATGTCCTTTCACGCCAAGCTCCCCTGACAGAATGAAAATACTAGACTTTATAGACCTGAGGTCACCCATGGAATTGGAAAATACCAACACATGATAATGAAACAGGGGTGGCTCAGATGATGACAACGACATAATGTTTTAAAAACAGCATGAAATACAACCTCTATAAAACTAGAAAATTACAGAATATTATTTCTACAGTTTCAGCTGACAATTGACAAGCAACAAGTCATATTTAACGGCTACAAATTAATTACTCAAACTCCGGGTCATTTTTCTATTGACCCGGAAGTCATAGCGTCATTTAAACCCCACAATGGCGGCAAATTTTCCTTTACACAAACAAACCGGTCCGGAGAGCCAACTACGACAAAGATGGTATGTGCAATGTTTCTCTTAAACTAAATAAACAGATACCTATTGAAAACATGTAGCCTATTGTGTGATTATTGTAATTGATTTTGACTGTGATTTAAATGACATGATTTTCTTTAAATTGGCAAGATGTATTGATAATCACCGCAGTATGGGCTCTATGCACGGCGGTATTTCCGGTGAAGGTGTAAGGATGCTCGATAACTTCCGCCGATCGTAGAGTCCAATGCAGTACTGAGAATTTATATTGAATTTTATACTCCATGGTTATACTAAAGAAACGTTAGTCACAAAAACAGATAAAACAGACACCCATCGTTGTGTTTTGCTTCTTTTTAAAATTATATTAAATAAACATAACTATATATAAAATTACATCTAATTGTTTCAAAGAGGGGAGGACAGTACATTTTGAAGACTCTGTCATAATCCCATTTTCCTCGGTTTTCCTCCGCTTTAATCTCCACAACCGGAAATGGACGAGCATCCTTGCATCAAATACGGAACTTATGCGTGCACATAGCCCATTAGCTGTTAAAAGTGAGCACCAAAAGCTATGGGATAGGGGATATATGAAATTTTGTAATGAAAGGCTAGGTTAACCGCTGATTTGTAACAGTATAAAGATTAACAAAAGACATTAATGTGCTAGACAAACATACAGATCACAAAAGTGAGATTTCTATAAATAGGTCATGGATGAGTCAGTCACACCGAGCCCTGTCTGTATTTCAGGACAGACGTCTGTTTACTTCCTGGTGCCAAACAGAGGGCATCGCTGCTAAGAGCCCCCTAGATAGCGGGCTAAACTTAAGCAGGGCCCATCCTGTTTTGGGATTCTGCTGTAACCTTGAGCGTTTTGACTTTCCTGCATCCCGCTCGAAAACAGTCAGCTGTTATCATTCCTGCGTCATGTTTGTAACCAACACTACGATGTTAGCTGGTCGCTCTGATACTTTACACCGCATCTGTTTGCTTCTGAGGGAGACGCTCTTGACCATTATAATTTGTGCGTTCATGTCCATGTCACCGATGGCTGCGTTCCAACTCTCAGCTTTCTTGGTTTTCACATCCCTCTTCAGCCAAACACAAACACACACGTCCGGCCAGCCTGACCCAAGCTATCTCTCCGCCTGCGAGTGCCAGACGCACACACATACACACATGCCCTAGACCCTCCTGCTCTTCCCACGTTCCTCCTCTCTCCTCTGTTCTTCTCTCTTCTCTGCTTGCATTTCCTTCTCTCCTTTCCTCTGCCTCAGCACCCTTGTACATCTCATTGTCTCTGGTCTCTTCATCTTTCTCCACTTCCTGTGTCTTGCACCCCGTGCCCTCTCACGCCCCCTCTTTCAACCTCCCCCTCTTTCTCCACATCTCTCTCTCTTCGCGACGTGACTTTTAGCACAGACATTGGGGCTGTTGCCAATATTCTTGGGCAGAGAGGCGAGAGATGAGCGCAAACACACACACGGACACATGTAGATGTAGGGCGCACACTAATGTACCATCTCTTCCCTAAACACTGGTTACAAGTGGTTACAACTAACAAGAGTGCTAATTTTCTAAATTAGACTCCACCAAGTCTTTGGCCTAATGTTGATTACTACTGAAAATGATGGTAACCATTACACTCAGTGAAAACAAGTGTTATGCATTTGAAACAACCATGGCCATTGTAAGTATTACTGGAGACATGTTTTACAAACTGATCTTTATTTTCTAATTGACAACACACTACAGATTTACCCCTGAAAATTCATTTATATTCATATTCTGTAATTTTCTATATATATATATATATATATATATATATATATATATATATATGTATGTATGTATGTATAAAAACAAATATCCATTTTGTCCGTTCATATTTTCTCTGGGAATGAAATGTCACTACTTAATTCTTTAAACCCCACCATGTTACAATGGCCTTTCCAATTTAAAGACATTTTAATAATTCAACTAGCATTCCACACTCCAAATCCCATTTCTCATCCTTACCGAGTGAAGAATCATATCTCATCGTATCTCTCTTCTTATCTCTGCCTCACACTCCCATGCTTTCTATCCATCTCTCAGCCATAGTCTGACACACAAACACTTAATGTCAATGAGCCATGTGCTCAGATTTAATGAGAGAGAGAGAAAGGGACATTATGTCACTTAACAGGCATCTGAAGCGCTGAATCTAGAATTACTTTGTTGTGATGTTTTTCCTGAGTTGCATGGATCAAAAGACAGACATGTGATCTTGGGAACAGAGAAGTGAGAGGACATTTGTGAGAATGAAAGAGAAAGAAGGGATCAAGCCATAGTTGGCAAGTCATTCCCACAGAACAATGCATGAGTTTACAGCGTCTCTTTTGGGTTCAAACGAAAAGTGAATGTTTATCGATCCCAGTGTAGTAGTTCAACAGATCTTATTAATTTTTAAACGACATTTTAATTAAATGATAGCCTAAATA